ACGGGCCCGTTCGCGGCCAGCTTGAGGGGATGTCTCAGGCGGTCGAGGCGTTCTGGTCCCTTGGGTCGTGCTCCGGCACGTACTCTCTGGGGCGCACGGAGGATGGAGTCGAGGCAGGACATAAAAATGAGATGCACATATGGGGAGCTCCACGCAGTGAGTAATGGGGAACTCTTGTTATATAGCGTGGTCCGTTGTTCCCATTCCCAGATATCCCACCCGATGAGGTCTTGTAAACACCTCCTCCGAGGAATTTCAACATATCCCGCCTCGAAAACACATGCCCGCGGCTTCCTGCGCCGATGCGAGACCGCCAGTGGAACCCCAGCGAAGGGTAAAGCACAAGGAAGTATCGAACGACAAGATTGCCTTGGTGGGGATGGGGGCTGTCGGCGGTGAGGCAAGGACCTGGCCCTGAATAGAAAGGGAGGAAGTCTCGAGCAGGGCTGCTGTTGTTGTTGGGAGCGGCGCCAATGCTGAAGAGAGTAAGGCGCTAGTCCAGTGTAAAAAAACAGAGTCTCGAGTGGGAGCGCTGGTTTTGTTGGGACGGCGGCTTTCGGCGGCGAGGAGGAGCACCGCCTTGAGTAAGAAAGGAGGAAGCATCGAGCGGGAGCCGTGGTTTGTCGGGACGGGGGCTGCCGGCGGCGAGGAGCAGCACCGTCTCGAGGAAAAAGAAAGGAAATCTCGAGCGGGTGCGTTGTTCTTGCTGGGAGCGGCGCCACTTCAAAAAAGAGTAGGGCGCCAACCCAGCGTAAAACGGAAGGAAGTCTCGGGCGGGAGCGCTGGTTTTGTCAGGGCGGCGGTTTTCGGCGGCGAGGAGGAACACCGCCTTGAGTAAGAAGGGAGGAGTCATCGAGCGGGAGCCGTGGTTTTGTCGGGACGGGGGTTGTCGGCGGCGAGGAGCAGCACCGTCTTCAGAAAATAATGAGGAAGCCTCGAGCGGGAACGTTGTTCTTGCTGGGAGCGGCGCCACTTCGTGAGAGAGTAGGGCGCCAGTCCAGCGTAAAACGGAAGGAAGTCTCGGGCGGGAGCGCTGGTTTTGTCGGGGCGGCGGTTTTCGGCGGCAAGGAGGAGCACCGCCTTCAGTAAAAAAGGGAGGATGCCTCGAAGGGGAGCGTTGTCTTTGCTGGGGGCGGCGCCGATGAGAGAAAGACTAGCGCGCCAGTCGTCTCGAGCGGGAGCGCTGGTTTTGTAAGGACGGCGGCTTTCGGCGGCGAGCAAGAACATCAGCCCTGAGTAAAAAGGAGGATGTCTCGAGAGGGAACGTTGTTGTTGCTGGGGGGCCGGTTTTGGCGGTCCCCCAAACCGCTCAAGCGTGAGCCTCATTTTCAATGAACATGTAGCCGGCGCCTCGGCGAGAGCGCCAGAGCGCCTTTAAGGTGTCCAACAATAAGAATTGTTCAGTAATTAACATTCAACAACAACAGCAACAACAACAAAAACAACAACGCAACAAGCATAATCCTCACCACGGATCCCCACTGGAGCCACGCACCCAGGGACAATGAATGACCGTTCGGCCCCCTCATTCTGATATAAATATGTATACATACTTATACATACATATATATATGTATATATATACCTACATACATACATACAGCCATACATACATATGCACATTTACATACATAAATACATGTATAAGCACACATACGTATGTATACATATCCGCCGGCCCCCTTGTCGGGCCATCAGGCTGCGGGGTTACAGCTTGCTGCTCCCTGTTCCAGTTCCAGCTTCAAGTCTTCCATGTCATAGCCCTATGTTCTATTTCCTGCTGCAAACTGCAAACTGTGACAGACCGCGCAGGGGGGAAAGCCCCAAACCGTCCTGGCCAGTGCTCCCGAAACGCGTATAAGAGTGAGGGTGCGGCGGGGACGTCTGCAGTCTGCGAGGCTCTGAAGAAGCCAGCCGCAGGCGCCAAAGTTGTCAAATCATATAAGGAGCCCGCCGCAAGCGCCCATTTTTTGTTGAAGCAATGTGGGTGGGTCGCGGGGTGGATCGCGGGTGGGTCGCGGATGGGACGCGGGTGGGTCGTGGGCAACGTCGCGGGTCGGGTCGCGGGTGGATCGCGGGTGGGTCTCGGGTGGGTCGCGGGTGGGTCGCGGGCGGGTCGCGGGCGGGTCGTGGTGTGGGTCGCGGGTGGGTCACGGGTCTGTCGCGGGGTGGGTCGCGGGGTGGGTCGCGGGGTCGCGGGTGGGTCGCGAGAGGAACGACGCCAAACAACAACAAACAAACAACCAAACAAACAACAATTAAAACAACAACCGTAATAAAGAGAACAACAACCACCACAACAGCAACAACAACACCAACAACAACAGCAACAAACACAACAACAGCAACAACAACATCAACATCAACACCAATATCAGTCAAAACAACACGAATCCGCATCGCGGAACCCCACTTCAGCCACGCACCCAGGGATAATATATGACCGTTCGGTCCCCTCACTCTGACATCATACTCGCGCCTTCCAGAGGCCACGATCCCGCGCAACTTACACAAGATTCGCGTCCCCGAAGCCACGACTCGTAGTACAGTATACCATAGTCGCGTCTCCGAGGCCACGATATCTCGTAAGTTGCGTTATGTTCACCTTCCCGAGGCCACGATTATTGATACATTGTTGAGTATTCGCATCTCCGAAGCCGCGATCCTTAGCAAATTATCCAAAATTCGAGCCCCCGCAAGCACAAACCATCGGAACTAAATCGTTAGACGCGCCCCGAAGGCAACGACCACTCGTAGTAAACAATACCATAGTCGCGTCTCCGAGGCTACGATCGCTCGTAAGTTGCGCTATGGTCGCCTTCCCGAGGCCACGATTCTTTACACATGGTTCAGTATTCGCGAAGCCACGATCCTTAGCAAATTATCAAGCATTAGAGACCCCGAAGCCACAAACCATCGGAACTCAATCGTTAGATGCGCCCCGAAGGCAACGACCACTCGTAGTAAACAATACCATAGTCGCGCCTCCGAGGCCACGATATCTCGTAAGTTCCGCTATGTTCACCTTCCCGAGGCCACGATTATTTATACATTGTTGAATATTCGCATATCCGAAGCCACGATCCTTAGTAAATTATCCAAAATCCGAGCCCCCGAAACCACAAGCCATCGGAACCATTGAGCAATGTTCGCGTTACCAAGGCCGCGATCGTTCGTAAATCACGCTATGCTGAACGTCCCGAGGCCACGACCCTTTGTAAAGTGTACGATGATCGCGTCCCCGAGTCCACGATCCCTGGTATAACTTACACTATGTTCGCGCCCCCGAGGCCACGATTCCTGATACATTATCACATATTCGCGTCCCCCCCCCCCCGAGTCCACGATCCCCTGGTAAACTTACCCTAGATTCGCGTCCCCGAGATCACGATCCCTGGTGAATCACGTTGACTTTGCGCCCCCGAAGCCACGGTCCGGGTTTCAAGCATGCAGTGTTCGCCTCGATGCCGTGAGGCCTAACGACTTGCGCCGTGCTCGCGCCCCCGAGGCCACGGCCCTCAGAAGCTCACACCATAACCTCGTTCCCAAAACCACTGTCCCTGGTGAAGCTCAGAGGACCCCGAAGAACGTCCAAGCCGCGCGACGTTGCCCAGCGTACCCTCAAGCAGGCCCCCAGGCGTTCCAAAAGATCCTCAAAATACACCGCATGAGAGGGAGTTCGAAAAAACTAAGAGCTCCAAGCAAAGCATCTGGATCTCGAGTTGCCTTACATAGGCGGCGGGCCAGGGGGGGAAGTGAGAAGGGACGGACCTTCTCAGAAGGCTCGGAAGTCCCCCGGACTTCTGAGAATTGTTCTGCGCCTTCTCCGAAGACAGACAAAAACTTCTCGGAAGGCGCGAGGGCTTCTGAGAAGTCCCGCCACCTTCTGAGAAGGCCTTCTCCTCCTCAATTCCCCCCCTCACTCGCCGCCGGCATCCCCCCTGGAAGAGGAGGAGAAGGAGGAGGAGCAGCAGGAGGAGCAGGAAGAGCAGGAGGAGCAGGAGGAGCAGGAGGAGAATGAGGAGGAGGAGGAGGAGGAGGAGTGAGGAGGAGCAGGAGGAGCAGGAGGAGCAGGAGGAGCAGGAGAGTGAGGAGGAGGGAGGAGGAGGAGGAGGAGGAGGAGAGTGAGGAGGAGGAGGAGGAGGAGGAGCAGGAGGAGGAGGAGAGCGAGGAGGAGGAGGAGGAGGAGGAGGATCGCCCTCGCACGAGGCTTCGACCTGGCTCCACGACGGCGCCCAGGCGTCCCAGCACGACTCCCGCGTGCCCCGCTCTGGCAAGGGGAAGGGGGGGGCGGCGGCGGCGGAGGGCGAAGCCCTCGCGGATGTGCATCCGCTCCTCCTCCTCCTCCTCCTCCTTCTCCCTTCTCCTCCTCCTCCTCCTTCTCCTCCTGCTCCTTCTTCTCCTTCCTCCTCCTCCTCCTCCTTCTCCTCCTCCTCCTCCTCCTTCTCCTCCTGCTCTTCCTCCTCCTTCTCCTCCTCCTCCTCCTCCTTCTCTCCTCCTCCTGCTGCCCGCCGACCTTGGTGCCCGTACGTCGAGGGACAACCTCCTTCGGGAGAAGAAAGCATGTGGGCTGCCAGCGGACACTGCGACTCCAGCGGCGACCGGCGACGCTCCTCGTCGCGCCCTCGAGTTAGGCGCTCGCTCAGCTGCGCGCGCATGGTTTGAGATGTCACCCAAATGGAAGGCGAACTTGGCAGTGCCAAAATAAGGTCATGCGCAAAACAACAAGCCGTCGACAGCGTCACAGTCGGATACACTCACAGCCTGACGCACACCAGGAGATGACCTGGTCGAACAAGAAAGGGACTGGCGCCTCCAACGGCACCTGCAAAACACGAACCCCCATGCAAAACGAAAGCCCATTGGATATCGTGCCAATCTTACGAAGACGTGACGACCGTGAAGTCATGAAACAGGCAGCAGGGAAGGTGACCCTCACATGGTGTAGCAGGCGATGGGAAAGGAGCTGCACCACAAAAACATCATGGGTGGGAGCTGGCCTCATCCTCTATATGGGTGACGTTGTGCTGGATACCCTTCCTCGGAGGAAGGGGGCCGAGACAGGGCAGAGTTGAGGGCTCATGGAGACACATGTTTGCCGAGCCCGTCAAGCGTGAGCTCCAGGCAAGCGCACGAAACAGGAGACGACGTGGACGCCACTGCCACCTGAAACTTGCCCGCTGCCTGCTGCGCGTATTCGCAAACACTCCGTGAGCTTCAGCACTCCTCCCACCAGCTTTCGCCTGGTCCGGTTTCTGACGGTAGGGAAGCGGTGTTGACGGAGGGCCACCCGTACCAATATCGCAAGCGAACTCGTGCTAACACGGTGGCGCAGGCATGCGAGTGACAAAGGACGACAGATGGCGAGGAGGCAAACGCGCAGAAGCTGGATCCCCTGCTCTTTGCAGCGAATGTGGATGTTCTCGACAGACATGAGGATTTGCCCGAAGTACCTGGAATGCTCAGAATATCCGGATCCCGGGCGGACGCTAGTGCTTGCAACAACTCAGGCCTCCCCACCGACGCTGGCCCCGCTGGGCTGCATCTCTTTACCCTCACCCGTCCCCCTCTAACCCCTGCCCTACCCTCCCAGCTTCCCCTGCTCTTCACTGGGCTGGCCACCTAGATGGTAAAAAAGGTCGCGTTGAGCAAGAACGTCTGCAAAGTAAGTACGCACATTCTCCACGTTGTCTTCCGACTCCGCCTCTGCCCCTATCAACCTTCTTCCAATCAGACCTCTCGTCACCCTCACATTCTACCTCCCCCCATCTCTCTATGCCACTTCACCCGCTTATCCTGCCCCGTCCGCATCAGCCACTGCCTCCGCCGCCTCCTCCTCCTCCTCATCCTCCTCCTCCTCCTCCTCCTCCTCATGCTCACCCTTCTTCTCCTCACTCGTCCATATCCACCTTCACCTCCTCTTCCTCATGCTCCTACTCCTCGTTCCCCTCCTTATTCTACGCCTCTCTCTCGTTCTGTTGATCTTTATTTCTGCATGTTTGAATTTATTGATTGGTTCCCATCATCTCTCCCTCTCTCTCTCACCCTATCTCTTCCTCGCTCTCTCTCTCTCTCTCTCCCTGTAAGTATAAAGTGTGTCCATCTCTCTTCCTCTCATCCTCTGACTCTCTCTCTCTATATATATATGTATCGCTATATATATATATATATATGTTCTCTCTCGATCTATACATATATGTATGCATGTATGTATGTATGTATGTATGTATGTGTGTATGTATGTATGCATGTATGTATGTATGTATGTATGTATGTATGTATGTGTGTATGGATGTATGTATGTATGTATGTATGTATGTGTGTATGTATGTATGTGTGTATGTATGTATGTATGTATGCATGTATGTATGTATGTATGTATGTGTGTATGTATATATGTATGTATGTGTGTATGTATGTATGTATGTATGTTTGTATGTATGTATGTATGTATGTGTGTATGTATGTATGTATGTATGTATGTATGTAGGTAGGTAGGTAGGTATGCATGTACGTGTGGCATGTATGTATGTATGTATGTATGTATGTATGTATGTGTGTATGTATGTATGTATGTATGTATGTGTGTATGTATGTATGTGTGTATGTATGTATGTGTGCATGCATGTATGTGTATATATGGTTGTATGCATGTATGCATGCATGCATGTATGTATGCATGTATGTATGTATGTATGTATGTATGTGTGTATGTATGTATGTATGTATGTATCGGTGGATGTGTGGATGTATGGATGGATGGATGGGTGGATGGATGGATGGATGGATGGATGCGTGTATGTATGTATGTATGTAAGTATGTATGTATGTAAGTATGTATGTATGCATGTGTGTATGTATGAATGTATGTGTATGTATATATGTATGTATGTATGTATGTATGTATGTATGTATGTATGTATGTATGTATGTATGTATGTATGTATAGATGTCCGGTTCCAGAAACCCTGAAACCCTGAACCCTGAAACCCTGTATGTATAGATGTCCTCCCCTTGCCGCATCGTGTTCATCACCACCAGCCGTGATCATCATCAGAACCATCATCACCAGCAGCACCACCAGCCTCAGCATCAGCACCAGCGGCATCGGCATCACCGCGGCCGTGGGGTGTGGCGGGCGCCGTGGCCCAGACCGCCATCACCTCGGGGGCCCTCGGCGCCCGCCCCGCATTGGCAACACGGCGCCGAGCCTCAGCTGTCAGCACCAGCGGCATCGGCATCACCGCCGCCGTGGGGTGTGGCGGGCGCCGTGGCCCAGGCCGCCACCACCTCGCAGGGCCCTCGGCGCCGGCCCCTCACTGGCAACACGGCGCCGAGCCCGTCGCCGCCCTCGGCGCGAGCACCCTGGCACGAAAGGGGCTGGAGAGGCTCGGGGGCCAGGGTCGGGTCGGGCCTGTCCCCCTACAGGGGGGAGCTTAGGCAACAAAAATCAAAAGTACATCTTCCCCAAAACTGCTCAAACATAGTCAAAAAAGAGTCCCCAGACTATTGTTTGACTAGTTTTGAAGATTCCCCCTGTAGAGGGACAGGCCCGACTGAAGACCAGGGGGCGAAGGCCTCCCCCGCGCCTCGAGCGTAGCGCGGCGGGGGCTGGATACGGCCGTCGGCCTGCTCCGCCACCCCGGCCTCGGAGACGGAGTGCCCCCTCGGGCGAGGAGCTGGCTCGGAGCAGGAGGCGCGGCACAGGAGAGCCCGCGGCCCTCGTCCAAGCTCGTGTACACGGCGTTCACTTCTACTCGTGCTCCTTTCGAATTGTGCTCGCTTCTCATTGTTCCTGGCCCCCTAGTGGCCAGGAAGAGGCCCAGGATAGAACAATGAGAAACGAGAAAGGATCGCGGATCTTGCCCCCCCCCAGAACATCAGAGAACTTTCGAAGAACTAAAACACATGATCCATGTGTACAGGGAGGCGGGCAAGGAGGAAGAGGAGGAGGAGAACCACAAAGCGTCCGACAGCGCTCGAGCACGGAGGCGGCCGAGTGCGCAGAGGAGACGGCCCAGCGGGCGGCAGAGTGCGTTGAGCTCTGGACGCGGCTCGCGCCCGGAGAGGACGAGGAGCTGCAAGCCACGCGTGCGGCGGCGCGGCGGCGAGGGCCCCCCCCCGCGCGCAGGGCAGAGGGGCGCGCCCCGCTCGCGGAGGCTCCCGCCTTGCCCTTCCGGGCCTCTAGGGCTGCGATGCACAGACGCAGGAGCTCGAGCTCGACTTTGGGCTCGGGGGGGCGCACGGGAACCCGAGGAGCACACGGGAGGGCCAGGGCAGGCACCAGGACATCGTCAAGACGAAGGTGCGCCACAGCCCCGCGGTGGAGGGCGTCGACAGCGAGCTCGGCGACCAGGGCGGGGCCCAGTGCAACTTCGCGGCGGAGGTGAGCACCGAGGGCGGCCAGGGGAGCTCCGCGGGCGAGCTCGCGCAGGGGGCCGTCGGCAACCAGCAAGGCTCCGAGGAGTCCCAGGGCAGTCACCTGCACACCTACGCGACGAAGAACAGCACCAACGACCCGCTGGAGGACCTGGCGCGGTGGGGGCCGCACAAACAACCCCCAGCCAGAGCGCGCAGGGGCGCGCGAGAAAGTGGCAGCCCAAGGCGGACGGCGCGCAGAACGA